TGCCTTAAACAACCCTGTACCAATGAATAAAAATCCACCTACTTTAAAAATTGTCCAAAATCTTCACAAACGCTTTCACAGCCAGGCCATTTGCAAACTCCATGACCATAGAGAGTATGGGAGGCCCCAGTCTCCTCATGTGACGAGCTGTAGCAAAAGAATAAGGCATCAGATTCATCTCAAAAGCCATAATCGTTGGAGGCTGCTAGCGCCTGTCAGGTTACGATCAGTGACAAACAGGTCAAAACAGGTCAATTTAGCTCAGAGCAGTCAGAAAAATTTAATCGTTCTATTGAATAGTTCAACTGCCAAGGCTAGATGATGTTCCAATTAGAGAAGAAATAGAGCCAAAGATGACTGTTAATAAAGGATGAAAAAATAAGATGACTGTATAATACCATATGCTAATTCTGCCATACGACCTTGGTGTAACATTTACCTATAAATAAAAAATATACTCAGAAGTGATCAATTCTGAGAAGAAATATCCAAGACGGACAGTTAGAATTTATGAATATTGTGAATGTTGCTACAAAAGATTTGGATTTTCTGCTTAAATGTGTATAAAAATAAAGTTGCTTCCATTAATAAATATTTTTGTTCGTAAGCATTGATTCCATTAGCTACTCGGCTTCGTAAAAAACCCCAGCTGTATTCTGTGTCTTTTTCTGGAATCTCCACAATAGTTTCATCCCTCTACAGATATCAAAGAAATTCAGGCAACTGTCCCATGGAGGTGGGTGTCAGCTACATATCCTCAAGTAAAGAACCATTCTCTTAGATATAATCACAAAAGCAATACTGACTAAAGGTACTACTATAAAGTCATTCAGAGAAGTGCCAGTTTTTAAATAATACAAAATAACGATAGAAAAATGTTCTCACAGTCACATGAGGACCAGAGACGCTTAAATTATAGACTCCTATTATAAATACTGAAATAATTAAATGGAATATTTATTTGAAAATACAATTATTTACAATTTAGGTTGTGTAGATACAAATTAAATTTCATCTTATATTTAGATCATCTACATCTGACTATCCTAATATATTGACTAATAAGTGCTACAGATACTATGCACTTTTGTATGCATTTAATCCATTACTTGAAAATAAGGACAATATCTGTCAATATGTCTGAAAAATTATTTTAACTTTATCTATATGGTTCAATTCCACTGTATTACACTAACGCCACTGAAAATTTGTACGAAATGTGTCAACTGTGTTACTGTCGTGCATATAAGGAAGGAAAATTCAGTGGTTTTCTTCACAAGAGACGAACAATACGAGAACTGCTTTAATGTATTATTTTTTAAAGCACTTTTTACACAGAATCTTTGCACTGAATTACAGCCTTGACAACTAAGATGTATGTACATTTTCTGTGAAAACAGCAGTGTGATTCAACAGGAAGGGCCTGACTGCCAGATGCGTTAACTCAAATCTGAATGAAACTATGCCCCTACAAAAGTGCCCACAAATCTGCATTTACACCTCTAAACCAGCACACACTACTCTGGGATTTCTAATTTTTACCAACACGACCATAAGTCCCTGTGTTAAAAACCCCACAGGCAAGTAATTGTCATTGCATCTGCAAAATTAGACATCATTATTGAAAACGATGCCCTATTGATAACCAATTCTGAAAAATCAGGTCTCCACGATCTGTTAAGTAACCTGTATTAAGTGTTATTTTGTGATTGGAAATAATGTGACTTATGATGTTAAACAACAGCTTTACGTCAAATGATAAGCACAGTTGAAATCTCATCAGAATTACCTGTCTCGCCTTGCATTTAGAACTGAAGACTGTCCATTCACTATGGAATGATGAGTTATTGGTGGTGATGCTTTGGAAGTGGTGGAGGAGGTAGTAGAGGAGGAATTGTTAGTAGTGAGGTCTAGCCCTCCATGTTTAATGCCATTGTCTTCCATACTGTGAACTCCAGTCACTTCTTTCCATAACTGCTGAATCTCAGCAGGACTTAAGCCAGCTATAAAATGAAAGAGAGCCCCACTAATATAACAAAATAAAGAGTTTCATATAATGAGCTCAGTGTTATTAATGGATTAATGCCAACAATAAAGCTGATGCTGTTTTTCTAGCACAATCAACGTGTAGTAAAACATAAATTCATTTTTCTTCTGTCAGAATCCAGGTAATCTAACTGTCTTCCCTTGTATTATAAACAGTCAATTAGAAATCACCAATTTTAATAACATTATACCCCTTCTTCTGAAAACACTGCTTAAGGATCAAAGAGTGAAAGCTACAAAGAACTTGCAACTACTTCTTGAAAAGAAAAAAAACCCAACCCTAAATATACTTCCAGACAAGATTTTTGTTGTCTGCTTAATTGATTTCTTGATAGGGAAACATAACTCAATGCATCCACAGTTAACTCAGTTTTTATAATTCCTCTTAATCAAACATGTAATGGGAAATAGAAAAACATATTACACTAAGGATACAAACATTGATATTATCTTTAAACACTCAACAAGAGCAGGGAGTGGAGAAAACTGGAGGGAGAAAAATCAGAAGGCAAAAATTAAATCAATGAGATCATAACAGGTTTAACATTTGAGCAGAATGCATCTGACACCCACATATCCATTAGTCCTGTTTAATATTTACAAAAATTGCTATGCATAAAAATATATCTTGAGAGGCAAAACCAAAGTACTATTTGGAACCACTACAGTGCAGAGCTAGATACTGGTGACCGCTTCAGCTCTTTGATACCATTCAGCGGCACCAAACACATGTAAAGCCAACAAAACGGGCCCGTTCACAACTCCCTCCACACAGATGAAATCACATGTAGTGCAGACCATCAAATTACTCCACTATTTCTTTTGTCCAGCCCTACTGTGGAAAACAAATCAGAGGGTTTGGCTAGGAGAAAGGAGACTCTGTCTCACCAGTCTCCTGGGGTGATGGGCAGCCATACAAAATTTGAAAAGCTTCTCAAACCTCTCTGCTATATGCGCAGTACTATCCTGGAGTCTAGCCACCAGATCTTTGCAGATAGAGCTTAAATTTGCTCCCTACTCCACTTGCAGCCTGGAAACTTGTCGTTTCCAGGATTCATCCTCGGCCACAAATAGCGATGTCTCGTAGAATGTATTCATACATCTATGTTAGGGTTGTCTGGCTCGAGTTGAGCACTTTGCACGGAGTCATGGAAACTTCCATTACAGTACGCTTCTGCCTGAAGTAAAGACTCCCAAAACACAAGCAAGAGAAGAGCTGTGAGCATTCTCTTATCTTGCCACCAAACATGCAGCTAAGGTAGGAACTTCAGACTTTGAAAGATGAAGAGTTTGTCAGAAATATATACACCCTCTGTCGCTGTCAGTCTTTAAAAGTTTGACATCTCTCTTTCGAAGAACACTAAATTAAATGTAGAAAAGAATGAGAAGCCCAGAAAGCTTCTTGTGAAAGATCTGGTTTCATGGCCAGGTTTTTCAGCCTGACATGATTTGGGCCAGAGGTATCTTAAAATCTAACTCTGTCTTCTGTATTTCGTCTCAATAAGTGAAATTAGGTAAGACAAGCTCACAGTATCTAGATCTCCTGGAATGTAAAACATTAAAAATGCTGATGTTGTCTGAATCAGCATTTTGCTCTTTTTATTTTATGAAAGATCTCAAATTTATTGTCCTTCTGAAAAGGATTAAAATGTATCTATTCATTCAAACTTTTCATTGAGGATAGTTTTGTTTGGTAAACAAGATATACTAGAAAGATGCAAATATTGTTTTTCACTGTTTGGCAAATCTGTTTATTAGATAATGTTTTACTTTGAAGACACAGGAACTCAGACTACTAAAAGGGATTCAACAGAGTATTATGAAAAAGCACAGTAAGTTCCTTACTACTTCTCAATAGCTGTCTTTCTTACCATAAAGTATACAAAGCTATTAAAAAATAGACCAGTGGTGATTTAGAGAAATAATAATTTCTCACGGTAGTGTGGAAACAAATCGGTTGGAAGGTATTCAATTTTTTTAAATTATGAAGGGAGCTCATTTTTAGACTACTATTTTCTGTCCTGCTTCTCTGCCTTAGATACCAACAACCATTGGCAAACTCAGTTAATGACAAAGTGAAAGAGTTGATTGGAATGTAAGCCTTAAAACTGGAGTTTATATCACATTTGTACAGTGAAAGCCAGGTTTTAAGGAAGCAAGCAAAGAAGCCAGGCTCTAATTTACTGCATTAGTGAGATGGGCAACGGGAGTGATGGCAATACTAGTTGTAATTGTTTAATGAAGGTAAGTAATTACTGCTATGTTCATGAGGTATGTTCCAGCAACACTGCAAATAACCCATTTTAGCGTGGTAAATAATAGTTACCCGCAAATGTAATCACAAATCAAAATGAAAAGTAATGTATTCATTTAGGTGGCATGATATACACAGTACATTATTTACTTCAAAGTCTTCCCTTCCTCCTGCTGTTGAACAAAATAAACTAATTTTGTATTGAAAAAAAAAAACCAAAACCCACCCAAGAATAAACCCATCTGTTTGAATAATCACAGGGCAAACATATCGTTGTGTTTTGCAGTGAGAAAATTTTCATCAGAGATCATCAAACTTTGGGCCCTGGTGGGGGCTGAGTAAGAGCCGCCCCAGAAGCTGGGTGAACGAATGAGGGCTGGGAGCAGCCGGCGCAATGGCCCTTCCCATGAGAAGGGGTCTCCTGCCTCCCCCCGACAACTGCTGGGCAGCCCCTGCCTCTGCGTGAAGCTACGGATGGAGCCGTGTCTCCAGGCTGCCTAGCTCACCTAGATTTATTTTTTTTTTTTTTTTAAATCAGAAAGAAATTTCTCTCTGGGCTCAGGCTGGTTAATTTTATCACTTCTTCAGAGCACTCTGAAAGGCTGCCTTTTAGGATAAAAGGATTAAGGGCAGGCACTTAAAAAGTATAAAGTTAATAAGCGGATTTGTAATTAATTGTAAATTATGGCAATTTTGTAGTTTCTGTGTCTAAAAAAGTCCAACTCCCATTTTACAAGAGACCTGTAAAATGGCTGACAGATATTTTAGTCTGGATGTAAAAGCAGGGTAAGTTTTAAAGTTTCATAGGTTGTAATAACCCTCAAAATACCCTCTCTACACAACATTAAAGGAGAAAGGATCAGGAAGAGGATCCAGAGTGGGATAAAAATTAGGGACTATAATGAAAAAGGAAAATACTGATTTGCTATGTCATTTACTAACACCAAGAATCTTGGATTTTGAGGTTAGTTTTATAACAATTTTCACCACTATCTGCTCTATTTTTATGTTTGAATAAATGCTTAATAAAACTACCACTTATCAAATCCATTCACGAATCTGTTTTGCATTTTCTTATGTGGCCTGATCAAAACTTAGTGTTTTGTTGGGGTTTTTTGTTTGTTTGTTTTTGTTTGGGGTTTTTTTGATGTGGGGTTTTTTTTATTGTTGTCATTTACAGCTCTTTGCATTTAGCAAATCAATGCAGCATTGCATGGAACCAACTCACAGCGAGCCACTGGCTTTGGCTATGGCATAGCGAGGATCTTGTCACAAAATAAATGCTAAAACATCTCTTGTATGTTATTTGCTATACCTGACCATCAAGAAAACATTGTAAACATCCCTGCTCTTTAAAGGCAGAAATTATGCTTGGAGTAAATACTGTTTATATACGCAAACCTCCCAGCTGTACATGGAAGTTACGTCTTCTCATACTAACAAATGGAGGCCCCATGCTCTCTCTGTCACTAACCATTTGTAGTTTGTAGGACTCTTCATGTCCAACAACTTATAAACATGAACTCCCCCTGTGTTTCTCTCATTGTCCTAGCATCCACGTAACTCAGCAATCTAAATGGAATCATATAAAAATATTTGTGTTATGCATATGTAAATCCTTCTGTGCAACCATATTATACATCTTCAGCACAGTAGAAGGAGAAAAACATCCTTGTACCACATCCAGTGTGTATTACCTTAAATAAATTCTGAAAGCTTAATTTAACACTGCCACAGAAAATGTCTGTCATAAAATTTGCTGAATTTTATAAGAAAAACAAAGGAAGTTTGATCCTCTTACTTTTATAGAAACTCCAATACAGTGACATCTATGTTAGATCTAGTAAGTACTACTTGGATTTGTAAATACTGGATATATTTAGATGTATTTGGATGTGTAAATTTAAGATTTACAAGAAAGTCTCAACAGACTTGAAGCCTATTAATCTTCATTACATTATTATGAACTGGACTGGACATAGAAAGAACTCTGAGCCGGTCACAACTCTGCATCTCTTTGTTTTAGCGCCTTGCTGGAAAGACTTTCCTTCTTACCCTCCCCACTCTAACTTCACCTCGCCTGGCACAGAGCAAGTGGCCTTTCTGGAGATGCAGAGAAGTTTTCCAGGGAAAGCTGTCTCATGTTTTTTCAAGTTGGCACATCCAAACTGAGGCTATGAAAAATCGAGGTCCTGTAAATTAACTTGTGTATCTAAAGGAACCCTACATACACAGTAGATATTAGAACTAGGAGAGAAAAAAGAAATAATTAAATATTGAAATGGAATTCATCATAATTAAAAAATATCCAGGCAGAAGCAAACAAGAGGTTAAGCTACTTTAAAAAAGAACAATCCAGATATATTTTAACTGTAAAATTTTGTATTATTTCTTTAGTATCATGAATTTTTGTCATGACTTCAGTTACACTTAATTCTTTGAGTAAAAGAAAGTTCTTAAAAAGAGTTGTTTACTAGTTCTCCTAAAAATGTATTAAAACAGTTACTATTTTTTCTGTTTTTCTACTAGAAGTGGATGAATGAGTGTTGCATTAAACTAATGAATATCAATGCAATTGGGTAGGAGTGCTGAGGGAAATCTACGGGGATTGCTTAATGTGAGAGAAAACCTGAGGAATTCCTCTTGCAACAGATGGCACAAGAGGAGGTTGCAGAAGGTAAAGCTGTTTGGAGGGAGGTTGTGTTTCAATTGCTTTTTTTCTTTCTGGTCCAATGTGACTCTGTACAAAAGGAAACCAGCATTACCAGTCCCACGTGTCCAAATGCGTGAATCAGCTTGCCTCTCCACTGCTATTCTCAAATAATACTTAGTGCGATAGCTTACTTAGGTCTGTTTTTGCTGTTGTAATGTTTATGACTTTAGATATGCTTGTGTCATAGCTTTTCCACACAACACAATGTATGGAATTTACACATTTATTTGGAATCTCTGCTTTCCAGGGACTGAGGTTTTTCATGACTTTTTTCTGTCTTTTTTTTTTTTTTTGGTCTACATTATTGCCTATATACTGTGTACTCTGCTTTTGCTCATCTAATTTCTGAAGCTTCAATTTCATTATAATTATCTGGTGGAGGAATCAGATACATACGTAAAGACCACGTAAAAACCAATTAGAAGTAATGTTACCTGTCATGAACACAGTCTAAAAAATGCTCATTGCAGGACCGGAGCATCAGAGATCAGAGTGTTGTGTAATTTTTACGACAGACTAAATATTTAGCTCACCTCTCTATGGTAACACAAACAGAAACACATACCTCACAGGCTACAGACAGAGTCCTTAAGATGGGAAGTCTTTGGCCTTATCTTAAAATGTAAGCAGCATTTATCTCCAAGTTAATTTACTTTTCAAAAGTGCGTGCCCTATTTTCTTTCAACCATGAATGTATTTGTGTCAAGCAGTAGAGTTTGAGTTCATTTTCAGCATTGAGAAATCTTGATCAAAGTGGGAAAGGGAAATATTTTTTTTCTGGAAAGTCTTTGCTGTTATTTGTCAGTCATAATTCATTACAATTGGAATCATCACCTTCAAAACTTGTCATATTTAACATATTTAATACAAAAGAATAGCAAAGAAAATGAGTCCGAAGGTTTGTCCCTAAATTTATATGTAATAAATTGAAGATTCAAAGTGCTTTTCAATGCCAAACACTTTCTATTCTTAAAACAGAAAAAAAAATAAAGTGACTTCTGGGATGGCTTTTATATCACTGTCTGATATATTTTATACCTGTTCGCTTATATTAAATGAAATGATAACATTGCCACTAAATCAGATTTCAGTAACTCCTCAGAGAAAAGCAATGGTGTTTGAATTGTGTTGCTATCACAAATTGTTTTCAGCACATAAGGCTAATAAATATGCATCTTATATTTAAGAAAAAACACTCAAAAGCTGGTTTATTCTGTAAAAGTATGCTGTAAAATTGATCAGCCTCAAGAAAATTTGGTAATACGAGTAGTAAAGTTCTAATAATAGTGTATGTTTAAGTGTCATAATGGGAAACTGCTGAAGTTTGGATGCAAATGGAACGGTTAAAAAAGTTGTGAATCAGAAATGACTCCAATCATATAATATTCGAATACCTTGTGGCAGAGACTGGACAGGAAGAGCAGACTGGCCAGGGGGGATGGAAATGAGTCCCTGACGCTGAAGGTTC